CTTCCTTCCCTCCTTCCTTCCCTCCTTTCTTCTCTCCTTCTCTCCTTCCTTCCCTCCTTCCTTCCCTCCTTTCTTCTCTCCTTCCTTTCCTCCTTCCTTCCCTCCTTCCTTCCCTCCTTTCTTCTCCCTTCTTCCTTCCCTCCTTCCTTCCCTCCCTGCTTCCCTCCCTCCTTCCTTCCCTCCTTCACTTCCTCCTCCCTTTCCTTCCTTTCTTCTCTCGCATTGTACGGACAATAAGGAGAAACACATCAAATTTGTAATCCTCCTCTGAGTCTTCGTAAAAGCGTTTTTGTTATTCTCCCTTTGAAAGTTCGTACCTTTCAAAATGTGCACTCATGAAGGAAAGTTTCCACCCGTGTAGTTATTTCAATAGAACAAGCCACCAAACCTCGTAGCACCTTGATTCTATTGTGCTTCTGGCACACATTTGCAAGGGTTGGTAAAGGATGTAGAAAAATACTCCCAACATCCTTCCTACAAGGGCAAGTTTTGCAACTCACATTCCAACATACAAACGAAATGCAGTTGACCAAATGCTTCGCACAATCACATGAAAAGGGATACAATAGCAATTAAAATAAGGGGGGGGGAAATCAAGCAGATTTGATGTCTGTAATGTTTTGTACAAATGAACCTGATTTGCACGTTTGAAAGACCCAGATTAAAACTCTGCCAAATTATCTTCCACCACTTTCCTGGGAACTCATGCAGAACTGAAAATGCTTGTTCCTCTTGGGAGTCTGAAGTCGGCAGATTTGGGGCGGGGGGGTTGGGGGGAGGGAGGGAGACAGGGAATAAGATGGACCAGGATTTTGCTGTCTCTTTTGATAACATGCTTCTGAATTAAATTCTGTTGAAGAACATTTCCCAGTACTGAAGTCTGTGATTTTTTGCTTTCCATTTGACCTACTCTCCACCAAACTCAAGTTTTTTCTGGATGGTTTTGCCTTCCTTAGATGGAAGTGGCCATTCCACTCTTCCTCTTCCTTTCCTACTATCTCTCCTTCTCTTTCTCTCCCTTCCACCCTCTTCTCCTTTCCCTTCCTTCTTCCCTCCCTTCTCTACTTCCTTCCTCCT